TGTGAGTGGAAGGCTGGTGGCCCCCTTGTCAGAGGTAATTTCTCAAGGCTCTGCATGGGATTTAACGGGAGCCATATGGTTAAGCTTGTCAACCCTCCCAGAAAGCATCCCCCCAAAGGGCCCTCGTAAATGTTCTCGGGGCTGTGAAAGATCCAGCAACTTTCTAACAATAAAGCTATGTTCATAGCCATGATATTCAACGAAACACAACGCAGGAAATAATGACTTCTGGTCTGAATTACTCAAAAGGGGCTTCAAGTTGTCCTAGCTAAGAGCTGAGGAACAGTGACAGCCAGGGGAGACCTGCCCCTCACTCCCAGCAGGAGGAAAGAGGCTGGCCTGGATGCCGCCGGCCTGTGGTGGACAGTAACAGTCTCAGTCATGCTCAGCTTGCTTTGAGGTATTTGGAAAAACTCTTAATAACGAATTCATACACAGATGTCTTTACAGAGCTGCTTTGTTATTTCAGTCTTTCAACTATGCCTTTCCATGAATGCATCATTTACCCATCTCTCATCTTACTTATTTTCAGGGCAACAACTGGCCCAAACCCCTCCAACTATTAACTATCCCATCTTGATATACTTTGGGTGACAACACGAACTCACACAACAAAGCCTTGTGATCTACTTGGTCAAAAAGTAGCTCTGCTTTTGATATCAACAAGTCATGAGGGAGAGTAAGCTTTTCTTTTAGCTACGATAGTGTTGGCTTGCTTGTCTCCTTGCTTTACGAGGCCATGTCCGTAGTGCTGCATCTGATATTATGCATGACAGGGATTTGCAAAGAGAAAAGGGAAACAGAAGCACTGACAGGGTAAGAGTATTCTTTGTGATAAGTGTTGCTACATTTTTATTTTTACGTGAAACGAGATTTTCTTCAACTGAGTATTTGATCTGAATTGCTTAGCTTCAGTCCCTTACAAATTAATACAGCTTATGGCCAAATGTCATATCTGCACTTCACATGGACATTCATAGGTTAGGATTACAACTGGTGTAAAAACATAGAGCAATTTAATACATTTATGCATGCATATATGCATTCAGAAGAATGTATATCCAAGTTTCCTGATATAGATGTTTAATTTTATCTTACCCAGAATATTCCAAATTTGTATATTTTGATGTTAGATGTATAGCACTTGCATTGTAAACAATTACCATTAAGTAATTATCAGGAGGAATCCCATATACATATATATTGTTTATATAGACTTATATATTTATCCAATTACCTACAAAGAATTAAAAAGCAAAGACAAAGTTTTAGAATATTTTAGTAGCTACTCCTATAATTCATCAGAATTTAATACTGCTGCCTATTCTTATCAAACTCCACAGTTCATCTTATCTTCATTTCTGTCCTGAAGAATTACTGAGGATGAGTTATCTACTATGCCTAACCCTGTAAGGAGAAACGAAATTATTTAGGAAAGCTGAAATCTATGAAGATTAAAGCCACCTGCTTAACTAATCATTGAGTCCCACAAAACAAATATCATGTGATAAGAGCCCCAGAGATGAGAGAGAAAGGGAGAAGAGAGAGAAAGAGAAAGAGAGAGAAAGACAGAGAAAGAGAGAGAGACAGAGAGACAGAGAGACAGAGATAGGAAATGAAAGACTTTGCCCTACCATTATACGCTCATCTACCATTTTTCCCAGGCTTTGCTGACTTGATCCTGAATTAATGAGCCTGTTACCTGATATCTAATAAAAATGACTGGAGTAGAGATACTGTTTGGGAAATGCCACATACTTGCTTCAAGGCTGAATCAATTTCATCTCTATTTAACACATGCTCATTTTCTGTCTCTCTTGTCTCCTTGCAGCCCATGTCTCACCTTTTTTTTTTTTTTTCCCCCAATCTGGGAAACTTATCTCCTAAAATGCTACCATCAATCAGCCAAAGGCACTTCCCGACAGAGTGTCTGCCAGTATGACTGAGCACAAGTAGTCACTAGTTTGGGGATGCCTCCCACACTCCCTAGAGCCGTGTGTTTTTGTAGCCTGCCTAACCACATAAGTGCAATTTGGGATATTTATACTGACCTACAGTTTCTACTGAGATAATAGCACCACTTATACAACTGAGCATATGGGTAGCATGGCTCACTATGGGATAGTATGGAACAGAATTGGTAAATGTTGCTGGTCTACCTTTTATTAATATTATTTCTTGGATTTTACATTTCCACTCATTTTGATTTGCTGTGGCTCAGGACCTGACCCTGAGGAATACAAATCCAATGTTATAATGCTTTCACTGACAACTGAAGCCACTCCCATTTTCTAGTCTTTTATGTCACTGTCATTGCTAATAAAGTCAAGCCCCTCAGCTTAACTTCTGCAGCATAAAAGGAGAAAGAAATGAGAGTAAAAGTTGGATTGGCCACAGAAGCTCAGAAATGGTGGCAAGGAAGGGAAGAGGGGCAGCAGGAGCCAGGCTGTGCCATCTCCCACAAAGTTCCAGTCATGTACATACCCGCCGGCCACAGCACAAGAGCCTGTGCGTGGGCACAGGTGGGTCCCAGCTTCTCGGTGGATGCGGCTTAAGCACTGAGCCTGAATGGAGACCTTCATTGCTTTTGCTGTTTTTGTTGGCCAGTAGCCATGGCAAACATTTGCAGGTGGCTTGGCCAGATTTTGACACTTAAATACTTGAGGTTGTGATAAAAATCAGAATATTACTACAATATGGTTCTGTGCAGCCTCACACACAGAGAAAAAAATATAACATAAGAAAAAAAAAGCTATCTGCAATTTCAAATGCTCATTTAAAGATACAGTCTCCAGAGAAAACTCATGTTTTAAAATAAGTACTCATTTCCTCTTTGCTGAGAGAAATAAAAGAGTCAACTATCCCCAAATGTTACCACCTAGAGTTTCATACTAAATGCACTGGTGAGATGGGCTGGATTTCTTTTTTTTTTTTTTTTCTTGCCGAGGCCCCATGATCATCCAGACGTAGTTCTGGATGGGTCACATGGAGTAGAGTGGAAATGACAGATGTATTGGTTTGAATCAACATAGTAAACACAACGGGGAAGAATTTGAAGAAAAGAAATAGCCTCCCTCAAGCTTGGCAATGAAACAGAGTTCTATAAGTAACAATCATCTCCTGTAACATACTAGGAGAAACACATCATGCCCCAAGTTAGGAAATAAATGGGAAAAGAGACTGGGGGGGGGGGCATATGTACCAGAGAAACACCCCGATCCATCCAGGCAGACTGACACAGCCCACAGATGCCACCCAAATGTACAGCCCTGGGCCAGCTGGGTAAATTATTGACAGAGTCAACACCCACCTCAAAATTTAGTGCTAACCCTTAAAAGACTGTTCCATAAAAACCAGCATTGTAGGAACAATGGGCGAATGCTAAGGGTTAGGGCGAGGGGCAGGCAGGAGAACTCCAGGGGGGAAAGAATGCTGTAAAACCGCTAGTAAACTCTAGCACATTTTATGTTTTTTCCCCTTGCAAGAAAAATAAAATATTTATAATTAGCTTGCCTAGCTGTGAATTGTCTGCCCAAAGCCAGGCCCTTAGAGTAAAGGAGTCCCTTGAAATTTGGATGTTGTCTTTAATTAATCCATCCTGCCCTCTTGGCACGCATGGGTTCTTACTCTAGATAATGGCAACATTTGCTTTTATAGTCATAAGAAGAAAAGAAATTTTTACCAAAGATTCTTGCTCTTTGAGCAGGGGCTTCTTTAAAGAAAGCCGAATATCCAATGACCAGATTGATTTTTGGTTTCTTGAATGGGAAATCAAAGGCGCCTATGGAAAACTCTGAGACCAGTCATAACCTATGGTTCACATACCTTAAGATGTTACAACCCGTCCTGATGAGCAGAGAAATGTGAGACACAAGATACTCTTTCTAGAACATTCTGAAGAATAAGCCAATGCTCACTGTTGGTTGGGATTTTTACCAAAGTGAACAACAAAGGCAGGTAGACACAATGACGAACTGAGGAACAGCTTTTAAATTTCTTTTTAAATTGCCACGACCAATAGTCAACTGAAAATTCAAACTAAATTCTGATGCTTACACCAAATACAAAGAGCTTCTCTTCTTATTCTGGAAACATAGAGTAATCAGCTGTCTGCATCCAACTAGTCAATGGCTTAAATTATTACCTTTTCTTCTTAAGAACCCATGTGCTTTTTAAATTCTTTATTTCATCTTTACTGCTGTGAGGTTAGGAAGAACAGACTCCATCTTCATTCTGGAGATAAGGAAGCTGGACCAGAAATTCTGCATTTCTAAAAATTGTCTGGATGAGGCCCATGTTGAAAGTAATGTTCAGTAATGCTGCCCAGCAAGGAGCTAGAGTATTTCTCCCATGATACCAAGCCTGAGAGCAAATTCCATCAGGCCTTAAGATCCATGTGCCAGGATTCAGTGACGAGATGCCTCCATCAATTTTCCCTCAGGGTCTCACTATTGTGTTTTTACATAAATGAGAGGGAGGGAGCCTGCTTCCTGGGTTTTGTCTGCTCTAGGGATGATGAGCATGGATGTAGGTAGAGGTAAGGAAGAGCCCGTAATTCTTTTTACAAAGAACGGTCAGAGGTAAGAGACTGTGAAAAGATATGGTGAACAGATAGGCTAAGCAGCTCCTGGGAAGGCCAGGAACATTCAAGGGGCAAGGCAGGTGGAGAACATCCCTCCACCATTGTCAAGCACTTGTCCTGAGCTCTCTGTTCTGGCCTCTATAACATGCACAAGTTTGCTTACAATCATCTTAAAGTTCACAAATATTCTCTGAAGATATGAGGACACAACTCGCTCCCTTCCACACCCAGGATCAAAACAGCTTCCAACAGCCTGAGTGTTCCTCCCTTAGCTCATCAGAAGCACCACTCTGGGCTCTCAGCAATATCACACCAGCAATGAAAATCAACAAATCTGAGTACCAGAAACAAAGAGAAAGTCTCAGATGTTCTCTGAGCACCAGCCAGGGCCCAGCGACAGCCAAAGGGATCTCCTTACCCAATCTGGCGGTTGGTAGATGGTGCCTGTGTGATGACAGAGCTGGACTGGGGCGAAGGCATGGCTTGCTGAATCACAACGCTGGTGTCGTGGTTGGGCATCCGAGTGCTGCCAAGCTGGTGAGCTCCGGGCCCTGTTATGGCCCCGCTGACTGTATTATGCATTGAGATATTCTGCCCAAAGAAGACAGAGGAGAAAGGTCAGGCGAAGGTGACATTTCATGCTACTCCCAAGCTCTCAAAGGCCAAAAGTGGGAATCTGGTCATGTCAACTAAACGGAAAGTTATGACTTCTTGCAAGCCTTGGACCCATTCATCATGTTATAACTTACAGCTACGAGGAGATGAAAAATAGTCACTCACCCTCAGAGTAACACACAAAGGAAAAAGCCTTGAAGCCTTCTTATCACCCTGCTGCTATCCTGAAGTAAGGTTTACATCAGGAATATTTAGTGCATACCTTCGCGAGGTATACACTGCACTGGAAAGTGACTTCCGAGTAAGTGCATAATACAGAATTTAACGAAGTTAGGTCTGTGTCCTGCTTCAAATGACAGTCACCCTGGATAACTTTTGCTTTTTTTTTAGTCCTGGAAGAGTGGGCAACCACATGTGTTTTCTCCAGGAAACGACTACTTTTCCAAATTTTATTCTGGGTGTGGAATGAGGATGCTCTGAACAAATGAAAGGTCACCTGAACTCTAACAACAAGAGGAAAAGTTGCAACATCCTATTGTATTTCCATAAAATCAGTCTCTCACAGTTGCATGGAACAAATGGAATACAGAACCACGATGCCTGTCTGCTTCCATGGTTACTATCCTTTCCTCTAGAATGTAGAACACCTATGCTCAAACTATCCCATGGTATATGGAGCACAGAAGACATGTGACAGCCACATATTGCATGAATAATCTAATGAAGGAACCAGTGAAACATCGGAGATACTTAAAGGAACTTGAACAGGGACTCCTTTGTTTAAAATTTTAAAAATAAGGTAAAATACATAAAATACACCTGTGCCATTCCTTAAATTGATGAAGCAAAAAGAGAGAGAGTTTGAGGCCAGCCCAGACAACACAGTGAGTTCAAGGCTATCCTTGATGATGTAGGAAGACATTGTTTCAAAAAAAAAAAAAGCTGATTTAAAAAACAATTCTTCTTAGAAAAAAAGTCACTAAGACAACAAATGGGAATGTGCCCTGATAGAGAAGAAGGATTGGTTGGTGCACTGGGACTGAACTATGATAAAGATATTCAGAAGCCAGTAAAGGAAACAAGGGCACGGTGACTGAAGTGACAGGTAAGGGCAATGAGAGAGACTCGGTGGACAGCCGAGGAATGGTCACCCCAGAGGTCATGTGAACAGTAGGTTGAGGATGGGAAGAGAGAAATAGAGCATCTCTAGCAATTTACTCAAGAAAGCAATGTATATCTGTCTGCACTTTGGTGTGTTTACCTATGAAATGATGGTGATAACATGCAAGGTATGGGACGGGTGCCCATCGCATGGCACCTTTCCCAGGTTTCTGGTTCCTAAAACCTGGCCACACAGTTTGTCAGCTGTCCAAATGGAAACGGGGCACCTGGCTTAGACTGTGAGCTGACTGTGCCGTCAAGGGATCCCTAAGGCTTATTTGTACACATGGTCCAAAGGCTTCTTTTCTGTACTGGGAAGTTTTCCTGATGTGGGACGCACTGTGGTTAGGAGAGGCAGACGAAAGGAAATGGTGATTTGCACTAGGGTGGCAGTTGGAGGCGGGGTTCTGCTTTAGTTCTTTTTATAGATTTTAGAGACTCAGTAAAAATGATAAAAAGAAAAATTAAGTAATTGTGCTATTTCTTCTTAAAGGGGGCCTCTAAAAACTCATTTCCCCAGGTCGTAATGAAGTCTTGATGAGGTATATAATTTTAGGCATTATTTTTCTCACTATTTTGATTCTCAGAGGCACTCAACATTATTTTTTGTTCTTTAGTCACCTACTTTGTCAATACTACTTCTGAGGTCTGGAAGAATTTCTAACTCTGTTAGAATCATTTCCATGGTGCTATGGACCGTGTACCATGTGCTATCTTTAAATTCACAAAGAATGCAAATGTATAAAGTGAATATAACATGAAGAGTTATCCTCAACATCTTTTCTCTTCAAATCCTAACTGCAGTCCTCAAATTCACCTTAGACGTCCATCATCTCTTTCTATTCTTCCATCCGTGCACCAATCTACACCCAACACCATCATCTGCCTTCTTGGGCCAGGAAATGGGCTCCCAGGTGGCCTCCTTCATTATTTCCAACTTCTTTTCCTCCCTCTCCCCATGCTTCTGCTATGGTGAGCTCTTCAGAATACAACCCTTGTCACATAGTCCACGACTCCCACAACCTGCCTCCCACCTTGACCACTGAATGGTTTCCACGTGGCCTGGGAAGTACTGACCGCACTCTGTGTAACCTACATGGTCCAACCACCTCCGAGGTCATCTCACACAGCCTTCACTCTACTCCTGTGACCCTGCTCACCCTTCTGGACTTCTCCTGCTCCCAGTGTGCTTTCCTGCATTACCACACCACATCCTTTTTTTCTGACACCAATGCTTTTACTCTGACTCTATCTTCAACTCTCAGGAAGCTGAGCGTTATGTGAGGAAAGTCTCCACTGCCCTTCCCAGTGATGGACACCATTTCATTTTCCTTTATGGGACTTTCCACAAGTTTATAGTTTTCTTCGATTATCTGATCAGTGGCCAATTCTTTCCTCATTATAAGCTCAACAAGAAAAGGAACTAAACTTGATTTTATTTTCCATGTGTCTTCACTGTCTAGGCCGGCGTCCGGCATAAATAGATGCTTGACAAATATAAGATGTGTGAATGAACTATAAGGTAGCCTTCCTGGAAAACCCAGGATGATAAAAGCTTATCATTTTACTCTCTGGTAAACTGAGAGTGCTAATGTCCATTCTGTTCACCTTGCAATCTGAAATTATGCTCACCAGAATAGAGTTTTAGGTACTAAAGCAGTTGTTCAATTGTGGGCTGGTGAAACAGAAAAGGCAGGATTAAGAAAGCCACATAGTACGTAGACTGGCGAGCAAAGCCTTTGAAAAATGTTAAATGAAACTTGAAGAAAGATGCTGCACGTAAGGTTTCAATCTTTGACCACTTTGGCACAACTGACCATCAAATATTCTTCACATCCACAATAAACACCAAAGAAAACTAGCCTTACGCTGTAACACAAAGAACAAGATGTGATTTCTTCAAAGAAAAGCATGTTCGATAAAAGAGGTAAAGCTATCTTTCAGAATAAAAGCTGGAGAATCTTTTTTCAGAATGATTAGAAAAAGTAACAAATTACTAACTGGGAATATATCTCACATTCTCCCCCCAGCAACAACATTTTTTAATGTTTAAAATTTTTATTAATGCACATTAATTTCACATACTACTAGGTTCAGGGTGATACTTCCATAAATGCATATACATCTATTGATCAAATCGAATCACCCCACCAACATTTTAGATAATCTCTTTGTCTATGACATCTCCACAAGATACAAAAGGCTATTGAAGGTCATATTCCATCTAACCCTTTAATAATCTCCTCTCTCCTTCCCACAAAATATCAGTAAATTCTTCCATCTTCTTCCCCAGACTCAAAGAGTAATTTCAAAACATTTTGGAAAAATAAATAATCCAGAAGAAACATTATCATCTCACATTTAAAGAACATGATTGTTTTCTTTAAGCATTACATAGTAACCCAAACATGAAATTATTTCTTTGGATCACATTATCTCAATTATGGGTTCAAAACTTGTCTTAATTGATAAAAGAATAGTTTTCTCAGAAAAATTAAATATCCAATTTGAAAAATACAAAAAAAATGAGTGGATCTTCCAAAGTTGTTTTTATTAGAACAGGTGAGTGGATTGGAAGCTATTGAAACCATGTCACCAAATGATAACATTGGATGGATGTCAGTGGACAGACAAGGACCAGAGGTGCTCCTTGAAGTTCAGCCTTTGGCCTTTTCTTATTCAATGCTTTTATCAACAGTTTGGATTAAGATATAAAAATCATGCTTGTCAAATCTGCAGTTGACACAAAATTGGGAGGCAGACTAACGTTCTGGACAGTGGAATCAGGTTTTCCTCAACCCAACTGTGTGATCTGGCCTCCAAAAATGCTAACATAAATCTAGGCTGCTTTAGGAGAAGTGAAATGTCCAGATCAAGGGAAGTAATTATTCCACTGTAGAATAAGTTGGATAGACCGCATTTGGCCACCACATTTTAAGGGGGAAATTGACAAATAGTAGGGGATGAAAGCAATGAAGGCATCCAAAATGCACTGCAGGAAGAATGGCAGAGAAATCAAGAAATATTTAGTCTAAAGCAGAGTAGACTTAGAGGGTCATGTTAAGTGCCTTCAAATATTTGTGGGATTAGACAAAGTCTACATTGCTCTATAATTCAAAACATGGGATTGTAATGATAAAAGTCAATAATAACTACAATTTGAGTACCTATTTTGAAGCAGGCACTATGGTAGATGCTTTATAAATCACATCTCTAATCTTCACAATGACTCTTCAAGGTAAGTACGGTTGTCTTCATTTTAAGATGGAAAAACAGCAAAACTCCTCACTGTCATCAGTAGTGGCCACTCTCTTCTGGCCACCATGATAATTTGCAGGATGACAATTCAAAGATATGAATTTGACCTTGTAACAAATAAATTTGCTAGTATGTAAGGACACTCCAAAACAAAATAAGTTTCCTTGTAAAGTGCTAAATTTCCTGGAACTTGAGTGAAGTTAGGACTAGAGGCCATTTGTCAAAGATGTCACAACAGGATTCTTTCATCAAGGGGGAAAATGGCACCAGATGACCTCCAAGGTCTCTTCTATGGCCAAGATTCTCTCATTTATAATATATGGTTCATACTTTGGCTCACTTATTTCCAGATGATTAGTATTGTATAGTAATTTGGAAAATATACTGGTGTGAAAGTTAGGAGGTCTCTTCTACTATACTCTCTCTCCCTTCCTGGTAGCTGTATAACCTAAATAAATCATTCAGTCTCCCTAAGCTCAGTAGCCTCCTCATTAAAAAGAGTGGCTTGGAGTACATGGTCTTCATGATCGTTTCCAGCTCTGATATGACACAAGTCT